TGCACTCCAGTCTGGGTGACAGAGTGAGACTCCAACTCAAAAAAAAAAAAAAAAGTATTTGGAACAAAGCCTGGCAGCCGGAACTGCTCATTCACATTAGAAACTATCATCACTGCCCACTGTCTCGCCCACCAACCACAGCTTCCAGGACATGTTTCTCTTACCTCTGTGTCTCTGATTTGTCCTTCTTAGGCTTCTTTGTGGCTTTCTCTCTCCTTCTCATTCCTCCTGCTCACCGTGACTTGAATGGCCACTTGCTTTTTGCTGATTTGCAAATTAAAACCTAGCACATATTTGTGGAACTTTATATGTGTTTACTCTATCATTTGCTTGATATAAGCTTTTAGATTTCCTGGAAGCATGTGAAAATCAACATACAAAAAAAGAGGTCATTTTCATTGGGGCTACCCCTCTTCCATTGGGTCTGCAGACCATTGCCCCGCCCACTGAGGTCCCTAATTCACTCAGTGGTACTCTCATCTTCCTAGTCACCCACGAACCACCTAGGATACAGCCTTGGTAACTCTTTCTTACTTAACTCATTGAGTCTAACTAATCATAGCCTACATATTTTACATTCTGGATGTCTCTCAAATTTGCGTCCTCTTTTCCATGCCTATGTTTGTCTCTGTCTTAGACCCCTAGCATCTTTTGCCTAAATACCGCAAGAAGTGCCAGCAGGTCTCTCTCCCTGCAGTCTTTTCTCTCTCAAGTCATAGTTCTCCATAGATACTTCACTTGTCTACGTCACCCCAAATGAAACTTCTTATTGCATTCAGATAAACTCTTCCTTAGCACAGCAAACCTGATCTGGTTCCTGCAAACCTTTCCAGTTCCATTTCTTGCCACTCCTACTTAAAAGACGATTCTAAACAACTTTTATCGATCTTGTAATGGATGACTTGGCATCCATGGATCATGAGGCTAAACGAACAACCAAAGGGTTTGCATTTCCCCTGGGTCCTGGTTTTTGAGGTATGCCTAATCATACCGCAAGCCTTCTGAACACAAATCTTACCATCTGTGTTTCACTTCCTACCCAAGAAAAAAATGTCTCTACCTAGCTACTCCCTGACACATTAGTAGTAAAGGCAGAGAACTCTGCATGTTGAGGTTTTGTGTGGCCCTGCATGGTGTCAACCTAAATAACAAGCAGAGAGGGAGACGCTCTGAAAGAAAATGATACTTATTCAGGACTAGGCATGGCAATGGGAATACATGTGCCATAGTAAACTATGTATCAAGGAAGTAGAGAGAGACAAAGTTTTTTAAAGAAAAAAAATGAAGAGGATTCCATAATTGTTTTGAGATAATTATCCTTAGCTACAAAGATCAACAACACAGGCAGTGTCAATCCAAGGTTGGACAGGCAGTTGTTGGGCAGATGTTCTCACATAAGTAATTTTTTGTGTAAGCTTGAGATGACCTTTGTGCAAGTGTGTGGTTTTTGCAATCTTTTGGGCTAGTTTTTGTTATCAGGCATGTGTGCATGAGAACCCTCCCTTTGTGTCCTTCCCCAGCTCTGCTTTTCAGTTGTTGTTGTTGTTGTGTGTGTTTTTAAACACAACACAATGACAATGTAGAACTGTGACTAATAAACTTCTTTTGGCTTTTTTTTTTTACTTTTTATTTTAAAGATGTGGGGTACAATTCAGGGTTAGGTATACAAATGGTCATTGTCTTTTGGTAATTCAATGACATTGATGTCTCCTTGCCTTTACTCGGTCATACATACAATTAAATCACGTGTACACTGTAAAACAGTGACACCTGTTATGACAGAGACTGCAAACTGGGACCCTCTAGGCTGGGGGCCACTTTGGGTTAGCAGAGGTGTTTAGTTTGGGCCACAAGTTATGTTGTTGTTTTTTTTTTTGAGTTGGAGTTTCACTCTGGCTCCGGCGATCCTTCCACCTCAGCCTTCCAAGTAGCTGGAACTACAGGCAAGCGCTACCGCATCCGGCTAATTTTTTATGTATTGTAGAGATGAGGTCTCGCCAAGTTGCCCAGGCGGGTCTCGAACCCACGGGCTCAGGCAATTCATTCACCTCAGCCTCCCAAGTTTTTGAATGTTTTTCATTGTCTGCTATTTTTTTTTAAAGTGGAACGTTTCCCATCAAAATCTGCTTCTCTTGAAACATGGGAAGAACTGGCCGCCTGGGTCCTATAACATCGACTTGGCTAAGTAAGACCTGCCTCCTTCCAGCAGTAATGACCTGTGTGGTTTTCAGCAGCCCCCAGCCCTCTCGATCATTTCTTTTCCTCGTTGCTTCCTTTAAAGCAGACATGTGAGTTGGCAGTCCCAGATCTGCAGAGTGGGGACACTGATTTATGTGTTTCCCGCGCATATCACGGGCTTGTTTCTTCTGCACGGCACATTCCTTTCTTTTAACTGCCCGCAGGTGCAAACTTATTCTCAGCTCCAGTCTCCACCAACTTTTCTCTGAACTCAAGACGGACTCCGCAACCCCTTATGTACTCCCACCCTGCACTACATCCATCTGTCACATCCCTTGCCACACTAAATTTAGATTAAATATTTGTAGGATGCTTGAGTTCCTCACAAGTCCCACCTCACTTACCGACCGACTGCAATCCTCAGGGAAAACTTCGGGAGCCATTCATTTAATTCATTTCATCCTTCTTTCTTTCTTTTTTTTGAGTTGGAGTCTCACTCGGTCGCCCAGACTGGAGTGCAGTGGCGTGTCCTTCCCGGCCACGGCAACCTCGACCTGCTGGGCTCCAGCGATCCTTCCGCCTCAACCTTCCGAGGAGCCAGAATTACTGGCACGTGCTACCATGCCCGGCTGATTTTTTTTTTTTTTTTTTTTTATTGTAGAGACGAGGTCTCGCCAAGTTGCCCAGGCGGGTCTCGAACCCGCGGGCTCAGGCAATCCACTCACCTCAGCCTCCCAAGGGCGCGGGATTACAGGCTGAGCCACCGAGCCCGGCTTCATCCTTCTTTCAACAGTCATAAAGAAGGCGGCGACGACTGGCCCATATCCTAAAGGATGAGTGTGTCCCTGGTGAAATACCTTTCTGCAGGAGCACGGGGTACCAGAGGACTACAACTCCCATCAGGCACTTGGAGATCCTCGCCGCCGGAAGAAGGAAATACAGCTCAGGAACTACTACTCCCGTGATGCTCCTCTCTCCGCGCCTGCGCAGAGGTCAAGGCCACGTCGCTTTGGCGGCGCCGGAGACCACGCGTCGCATCCATGGCTTCTGGGGACTCGCGCCGGGTGGGGGACGGCGGTGCTGGGGTCACCTTCCAGCCTTACCTGGACTCCTTGCGACAGGAGCTGCAGAAGAGCGACCTGACGCTGCTGTCTGTAGTGGTGGCGTGTTTAGTAGTGCTGCTGACACTGGGTAAAGAGGCGGTCGGGGTTCTGGCGGGGGCCGAGTGGGCGGGGGTCCGGATTTCAGCTGCCCTTTCTGCAGGCCGCGGCCGCGGGGTCGAGAGGGCACGGGGGAGGGGGCGGCTGGAGAATGAGACTCACTCTTCTGCCACCCCGCCCTCTTGCCTGCGGCCGCGGCAACAGTAGTACGTTAAGATGGGGGGGGGATCGTGGGCGACCCCCGGAGCGACGGCCTTGCGGTGCACGGGTTGCTCTTCTCGTTGCCGGGACGTAAAGGGGCACTTGACAACAACTTTGAGCTTTCCGTGTTTGCGGGCTGGTCGCTGGGGGTCCCAAGGTAGGTAGCACTGGAGTTCACGGTCAGAGTAAGGAGTGCAGAGAAAAACTGACAGGTGATTGACAGCGGGCCCCAAACAACAACGATGGCGGTAAGATTATAAGGGTGGCGATAACAGCAAAAGTGAATTCAGGCAAAGGAGCTGTTTTGTTGTAGACTTTTGCTAATTTCCCCATCCCGACCATGCACACACGTTGATGATGATCAAGGCGTAATTTTGGTTGTTCTCTTTCCCCCTGTCTATTCCACAGTGTTCTGGAAGTTAATCCGGAGCAGAGGGAGCAGTCAGAGAGCTGTCCTTCTCGTTGGCCTTTGCGACTCCGGGAAAACGTTGCTCTTTGTCAGGGTAAATGCAGCTGATCTAAACCTCTGTTAAACTTGAAAAATGTTATGGCATCCTAGTATTCCAGTCATCTCATGGTTTATTTGGTAAAAGAGACTGCTGCCGGCAAATTTGGGATTTAATTCTTGCCTTACTTGGAAGAAAAAGACTTTTGGAAAACCCATAAACTAGAATTGCTGACGATTTCTATTTTTTTGTCCTTGCCAGAGGCAGACATTTCATCCTTATCACATTTAAGGGTTTTACGTAACTACTTTCATTCCAGAACAGCTGAAGATATAGAAGCCAGTGACCTAAATATAGTTTATAATTCTTTGGTTAGCAAACCTTTCTGAGAGCTTGTCAAAGATACATTTTTTTAAAGGGTGATCCTTTTCTAGTATATTGGACTAGTTAGGTTTCTTCTCACTAATATTTTATTTTTAATATGTTTAGTATATATATTTTTTGAGTTGGAGTCTCACTCTGTCGCCCAAGCTGGAGTGCAGTGGCACACTCACAGCCACCTCAGCATCGACCTGCTGACCTCTGGCGATCCTTCCGTCTCAGTCTTCCAAGTAGCTGGAACTACACAGGCATGCGCTACCATGCCTGGCTAATTATTTATTGTAGAGACTAGGTCTTGCCAAGTTGTCCAGGCTGGTCTCGAACTCACGGGCTCAGGCAGTCCACTCACCTTTGCCTCCCAAAGTGCTGGGATTACTGGTTCAGCCACTGAGCCCAGCCTGTTTAGTAATTTTAACTGAGCGTGTGTGTTACTGAGGTGAATAGGAGACGTTTTCTGCTTTGTATTTTTCCTTTTGAGAGTACAAATTATTTCCTTTGTACTGAAGGAATATAATCTCAAATCACTTTTGATGGTTAAAAATGTTTAGAGAAGGTCAGTAATTCTGGCCACTATCTTTTGAAAATAATGTTTTGTCTTCCATTAAGAAGAGGAAAATGAAGTTTGCAGCTATTTAGATTTTTCTGCAGGTTAGAAAAAAAAATCCATGTGGTCCTTTTCAGCTATTGAAAGCAGCATTCATTTATTTGACTTATATCTTGGAGAGTTAGAATAATATTTCTTGATTTAAGTTTACTCTTAATATGGTTACTTTGATCTCACGCCTCTTGTTTTTTACAGTTGTTAACAGGCCTTTACAGAGACACTCAGACATCCATTACTGACAGCTCTGCTGTATACAGAGTCAACAATAACAGGGTAAGATGTTCATGGAGTTTTGGAGTCTGACAGTCTTACTCTACTGTCATCTGTTAGTTAAGGACATTTTTAGGATGAATTAGTGTGAGGATGTAGGTACCATTTGTAGTTTATTTATTTATTTTTCCAAGTCTCCCAGACTGGAGTGCAGTAGCATGCTCACCCCAGCATCCACCAGCTAGCCTCCGGTGGTCCTTCCGTCTCAGCCTTCCAAGTAGCTGGCTCATTTTTAAATTTTTGTTATAGAGATGAGGTCTCACTGTGTTGCCCAAGCTGGTCACGAACCCGTGGGCAATCCTCAGGCAATCCTCTCGCCTCGGTCTCCCAAAGTGCTGGGATTACAGGCTTGAGCCACCATGCCTGGCTGTATTTATTTTTTTGGAGAAACATATTCTACATGACAAAATCTGCTCTTGATAATCCATGCATCAGATTTAATCATGCCCTCCTCTGCTTTGTTGTACCTTACATACAATAATGTTACATCACATTCTTTTTGTTTTTTGTTGGAGTCTTTCCTACTTTACTGTGAGTTCTTAAAAAGGCAGTAAGCCTTTTTCTTTTATGTTTTGAATAGGTAATACATGTACATGGGACAAAAATTTAAAAGGTTAGAAAGGATATTTGGTGAAAAGTAATTTTCCCTTTCCTGTTCTTGCTACCCAGTTTCCTTCTTAGAAGAAATAACTGTTACCTTTTTTTGTGTGTAACCTTCCAATGTTCTATGCATATACAAACATATCTGTATATCCCTTAGAGTTTTTCTTTTTTAACACTCTGGTCTGCCCATTATTTTTTCATTTAACAGCATGACTGATACAGCTTGGGTTTTTCTTTTCCTACCACATTTGTATACATCGTACTACCTGGTTGATTTATGAGCTTCATAGTAGTCCACGGTGTTGCCATACCATACAATTAAATTCTTACTTAATTGGAGCCCTATTAATAGACATTCAATTTTATTGTTAGAGTCTTTTGCTTTTATAAGCAGTGCTGCAATGAATATCTCAAAGAGCATATATGAGTATATTTCAAATATAAGGAGTCATGGAAAATACTTGTTATGTATCTCTTTAGCTCCAGAATGTAAACAATGACTGCCATGGGGATTGTAATGCTTAAGAAGTTTTAGTGAATGAGTGGAGTGAGGGCTCGGTCGCTGGTTGGAAGGATGGATGGATAGATGGATGAATTAGAGTTGAGATCTTCGAGACCTTTTTCCTCTTCTTGTGTTTCCCCTTTCTGGTGCTTCCACAATTAAGCATTGTAGCCAAAGATGAGGGATTGAATTTTGAAATTTCAGGTTGGGAGAGCGTTAATTCTTGGGGCACCTGTACCATATTTGTTAAGTGTGGTGATTTGGGATGTGCTTTGGACTGGACCTTCCAGTACACTGGCCACATGTGACTGTTGAACACCTAAACTATGACTAGTCCAAATTGAGGGGTGCTGTGAGTGTAAAGTACACCACCAGATCTTGAAGGTTTAGTATGCAACAGAAGAATGTAAAATATTATTGGTGGTCTTTTAAATTACACGTTAAAGGATGCTAATTTTGATATATTAGATGAAATAACATAATTAAAATTAATTTCACTTTTTTTCACTCTTTTAATATGGGTACTAGAAAATTTAAAATTACACGATTGTGTTATATTTCTTTCTTTCTTTATTTTTTTGAGTTGGAGTCTCACTCTGTCGCCCAGACTGGAGTGCAGTGGCTGCTCCCGGCCACCGCAGCCTCAACCTGCTGGGCTCCGGCGATCCTTCCTCCTCAGCCTTCCGAGTAGCCGGAATTACAGGCATGCGCTACCATGCCCGGCTGATTTTTTGATTTATTGTAGAGATGAGGTCTCACCAAGTTGCCCGGGCGGGTCTCGAACCCACGGGCTCAGCAATCCACTCACCTCAGCCTCCCAAAGCACTGGGATTGCAGGCTGAGCCACCAAGCCCAGCATGTGTTGTATTTCTACTGAATATATAGATTGTTCTTCCCTTCTTTCTTCACTCCTTCCCCGCCCCTTGATGTTTTCGATCTGATCTCTTGGGATAGCAGTGTACCGAATGCTGTGTCTTCCGAACTGCTTGTCATGTGTGATGCAGTCCACCTTTTAAAATGGAGCAGTAGGCTGTGCTTGGAGGCTCAGCCCATAATTCCAGCACTTTGAGAGGCCGAGGCAAGTGGATTGTCTGAGCCCGTGGGTTCGAGACCTGCCCGGGCAACTTGGTGAGACCTTGTCTCTAAAATAAAATTTTTAAAATATCCAGGCGTGGTTGTGCGTGTCTGTAGTTCCAACTACTTGGAAGGCTGAGGCAGAAGGATTGCTGGAACCCAGAAGGTCGACACCGGGGTGGCCGTGAGCGTGCATACCACTGCGTTCTAGCCTGGGCAAAGGAGTGAGACTCCAACTCAAAAAAAAAAAAAAAAAAAAAATGGAGCAGTCGGTCCCGGTCCCCAGACTGACCAATATCTAAAAACAAAAATGAAGGCCGTTAGACACTTGTGTTTGTCTATGAAGAACTGTATAGGCTGTCTGAAAGTTCATAATGAATCTAACAGGATTGTGTCAGGCCTGAGCATAACGCTGATTTTCTTCCTCTGCACTGTGTGTATGGATGGTGTGGATCAAGTAGAACATCCGAGAAGCTCTTGAAGGGTCTGTTGCGTGTACCAGGCCACACCCAAGACTCTTATCATCGACCATGGCCACATCGACACTGAGCATGAGGTCAAGAATGAAGGCTTGAAAGGGTGACTAGGACTTAACTAGGTGTATGATAGCCTTGCTCAGTAGGGCCTCAAGAATGACACAAAGCGTTGACAGAGTTGGAACAAATAAATGGTGTGTCGGGTAGACAGATAATTAAAAAATTAAATTAAGGAAATGGTAGAAGCGTGCTTTGCCATACTGATTTGGAATCCCCATAATTGTACCATGCTCTATGATAAATTATAAGTTCTTATGCTATGAGTTCGTGAATATTTAGTACTGTTTTTTTACATGTTTTTGCTTTTACTGTATTCATAATGGTATGTCTCTGAAGCCTCACGTAGATCACAGTTCCCTGACTCTGAGTGAAGAATCAGATTTCTCATGTACCCTCAGACTTTATCAAGGTTGTAATTTTGTATTGATGTGTAATTTTACATTTTGTTCATCTTTCTCATAAATTATGTGTCTTTCCTTACTGTTATATCACCAGAGCTTTAACTGAAAGTTTATGAGTAGAAGATGCTCTGTGAACATTTGTTTGGCTTATTAATGACAGTGACCATTTGTTTGATTCAGTAAGTAATTAGGTACCCAAAGTCTGATACTAAAGATTTACACAGGGAACATTGAACTTGACTGAAACATTAACTTATTGTTATTGCTGCCATCCTTAGGGCAATAGCCTGACCTTGATTGACCTCCCCGGCCATGAGAGCTTGAGGCTTCAGTTCTTAGAACGGTTTAAGTCTTCGGCCAGGTAAGTAGGAAGGAAGTGAGATGGACTTGTGGAAAGTCTGTGGTTAAGGCCACTGGTGTTACTGACTCTGGTGGTATTCAGGAGGCAGCATTGTGTCCTGTGGTAGGAAGAGCTTGGGCCTTAGGGTCAGCCGTTTCTGGGTTGCAAGCCCACCCTAGCTTGGATCATGAGGATTATATGACATAATGCTTAAAAGTGTTTCTCAGTGTTTATGAAATGTTAACTCTTCTAAAATTATTTAAAATTTAAATGTATTTATTATAGAGTTTTGGGTACAAGTGGGGATTGACTACATAAGTAGGCTGCATTCAGGTGAAGTTTGGGCTTCTAGGTGGCCCTCACTCCCCTGATAGCGGACCAGGTACCCTTTGTGTTGTCACATGCCCCCCTCCCTCCTCCTCCTCTCCCTCCCTCCCCTAGCAGTGCCCAGCAACTGCCAATCCCACCCTTATGCTAATGTGACTAGTGATCAGAGCCCACTTATGAGTGAGAACATTCGATTTTCAGTTTTTTGTTTCTGTGGTCCCTTAGTGTGAAGGTCTCCACCTGCATCCAGTTTGCTGCGAAGGCCGTGATTTTCTTCTTCTTTGTGGCTACACAGTACTCCGTTGTGTATATGTACCGCATTTTCTTTATCTTGTCCACTTTCGATGGGCAGCAGGGTTGGTTCCATGTTTTTACTATTGTGAATAGTGAGGCAGTAAACATGCCTGTGCAGGTGTCTTTTTGGTAGGGCGGTTTATGTTCCTCCAGGTATATTCCCAAGAGGATTGCTGGTTCTTATGGAAGATCAATTTTTAGTTCTAGGAATTGCTGCGCTGCTTTCCATAGTTGAACTAGCTTACGTACCCACCAACAGTATACAACTGTTCGCTTTTCTCTGCAGCCACACCAGCATCTGTTGTTTTTAACGTATTAATGATCGCCATCCTCACTGGTGTTAGGTGGTATCTCATTGTAGTTTTGATTTGCATTTCTCTGATGATAGTGAGGCTGAGCATTTTTTCATGTGTCTGTTGGCTGTTTGTATGTCATCTTTTGAGAAGTGTCTGTTCATGTTTTAACCCCCTTTTTAATGGGATTGTTTGTTATTTTCCTTTCACTTCATTTGAGTTCCTTGTAGATCTGGATGTTAGCCCTTTGTCAGATGCATTAATTTGCAAATATTTTTTTCCCATTCTGTGGGTCATCTCTTTACTCTCTTGATGTTTTTTTTTTTTTTTTTTGCTGTGCAAAAACTTTTCAGCTTGTTGAGGTTCCACCTGTCTAGCTTAGCATTCTCTTTGGGGGACTTGGTCATGAATTAATTGCCTACTCTGATGTCCAGAAGGGTGTTTCCTATGTATCTTCTAGGGTTCTTATAGCTGGAGGCTTAACGTTTAGGTTCTTGATCCATTTTGAGTTGATTTTTGTATATGGTAATAGGTAGGGGTCCAGTTTCATTCTTCTGCGGGTGGTTAGCTAGTTTTCCCAGCACCATTTGCCAAATATGGTCTTTTTTTTCCAATGGTTGTTATTGGTGGCTTTGTCAAAGATGAGTTGGTTGAGAGACCATGTTTTTACTTCCTGAATCTCTATCCTATTCCATTAGTCTATGTTTCTATTCCTGTACCACTACCATGTTGCCTTGGATAATATAATACTGTAATGTATATTTTAAAATAAAGCTTAAAGTCTAGAAGTGTGATACCTCTGGCTTTATTTCTTTTGCTGGGGATTGTTTTGGCTATTTTTACTCTTTTTTGTTTCCATATGAATTTCTGTATTGTTTCCAGGTCTGAGAAAAATGATGTTGGTAATTTGATGGGTTTTTGAATCTGTAGATTGCCTTGGGTAGGATGGACATCTTGACGATATTGATTCTTCCAATCCATAAACAAGAAGTGTTTTTCTGTTTGTGTCATCTTTGATTTCTTTGAGTAATGTTTTGTAGTTCTCATTGTAAAGGTCTTTCATTTCTCTGGTTGGGTGGATGCCAAGGTAGTTTTGTGTGTGTGTGTGTGGCTATTGTGAATAGGACTGTGCTTTTTATTTGGTTCTCTGCCTGCTTGTTGCAGGTTTATAGAAATGCAGCTGTCCTTTGCATGCTGATTTTGTACCCCGAAACTTTACCAAAGTTGTTTATCAGTGTGAGGAGCCTTTTGGCAGGCTCCCTGGGGTTTTCTAGGTTCAGAATCATTTTGTCTGCAAGGAAGGATAGCTCAACCTTCTCTTTTCCTGTTTGGAAACCCCTGATTTCCTTCTCTTGTCGATTGCTCTGGCTATGCTGAATTGCTCTATGCTGAATAAGAAGAGTGAAAATGTTAATGCTTATTATTTTTATTAAACTTTGAATTTACTCTGGAGACAAATTTCATGACATGCATAACTATTAAAATCTGAAAAAATTAATTGTAAAACTGGGATGCATCCTAGAAGTTATTAAACTCCAACATCATATACCCATTTATACTTACATTACCTAAAATTGGTGCTTCAAGAAATACAGGACAATCTTTTCATATTTCTTTTAGTATCTGCCCTAATATTATTGACTCTTAAGTTCTTTTTTAAATTTCTAGTTCTGAGATCCTTTCTTCTACTTGTTCTAGTCTACTGTTATAACTTTCCACTGCATTTTATACTTCCCTAAATGATTCTTTCACTTCCAGAATTTCAGGTTTGTTTTTTTTAAAGGTATCTGTGTCTTTGGGGAACTTTTCATTCGTGTCTTGAATAGTTTTTTTTTTTTTTTTGAGTTGGAGTCTTACTCTATTGTCCAGACTGGAGTGTAGTGGCCGCTTCCAGCCACCACAGCCTCAACCTGCTGGGCTCCAGCAATCCTTCCACCTCAGCCTTCCAAGTAGCTGGAACTACAGGAGCGTGCTACCACACCCAGCTAATTTTTTGATTTATTGTAGAGATGGGGTCTCGCTTGCCCAGGCAGGTCTCAAACCCACGGGCTCAGGCAATCCACTCACTTCGGCCTCCCAAAGGCGTGGGATTACAGGCTGAGCCACCGAGCCCGGTCTTTTTAAAATTTCTTTTTGTTGGTGTTCAACTTTCTCCTAAATCTCATTGATCAATTTTATGATCAACCTTTTGAATTCTATCTCTGAAATTTCAAAGATTTCACTTTGGTTAGGATCCATTCCTGAAGAGTTAGCATGATCTTTTGGGGGTGTTGAAGAGCTCTGTTTTTTCATATTGTCCGAATTATTTTTCTGCTTCCCTCTCAGTTAGGTAGACTCTTTCTTCTTACTTGAGGTTGGCAGGGGGCTGACAAAGGCACTGTAGGGTTTCTTTGGTTATATGTAGCTCTGGTGTGGTGAGTTTCTCAATTGTCAGCTGTGGCAGTCCTGTGCTGGGTACCTGCACTGGCTCATGGCATCCTGAGTGGCCAGAGTGGCTTGGCAAGCGGCGCTAGTTGGGGTCTGGGATCAGGGCTTCCCCAACGCTGAGGTCTTATAGCCAATGTGCTGAGCTGGGCTCTTGACCTCTGGCCAGAAGGGGACGCCGTGGGAGAAAGCCAGCTGCAGTGGTGGCCAAGGGGTTTCTCCTTGGGGGGGTGTAGCTTCAGGGAAGGGCCCAGACAGCCTAGGTGGAGGGTGGGGCTTGGCGATTACCCGAGTTCTCCGTCTGCTTTGAGCCTTTGAGGGGTCTGTGTGCACTCTTGGCTGCCTCAGTGGAGATTGGGAAGGAGTCCCCGCCCCTGGCGTGAGGCCCTTGTGCAGGGCAGGCAGAGAAGGGTTTACACTGGGAGAGGCTGCTGTGGCAACAGCCCCCACCGGCTCCTCGCTGTAGCCTCAGGCTGCCTGTCTCCCTTCTGAATGTCCAAGTGCAGCCGGCTGCAAGGCCCCAGGGGTTCTGATGGCAGCCCGCCCCAGCCAGGAGGTGTGTGTCGCCACGGAGCTTACCCTGGGGGACCATGCCCTCCCAGGTCAGCTAGAATGCAGCCGTGCAAGGGTTGAATCCCTGGAATATGACGGCCGGAACTGCTCGCTTTTTTCCCTGCACCACTCTGTGGGGGCCTTGGCAGGGCACAGCTGTGGGTGAGACAGTTACCCGGGAGGGACCAGAGTTCTGCCAGGCCCCGGGGCCTTCCGAGTCCGTGGCAGGAGCACAGAGCTCCTGAAGTCCCCTCACTTCTCTTTCTTCTGCGTCTGGAGGCTGCTGGTGGTCTGTGCCTGACCCAGGCGAGAGTCTGGCCAGTTCCAACCCAGGCTGATAGACTTCTCTCTTCTTGGCTCTGTGTGGTTATTATAACTTTGATGAGTTGTGGGTGTGCTGCCGTTCCACCTCCTCTTGGCTGCTGAGGAAACTATCTTGGTTTTACTCTAGCTGCCTCTAACTGGCCATCTTAATCTAGATTTTTTCGTGTCTTCCTCAAAATTCATATGTTGCGGTTTCACATGCTTGCTTCTTGTTTGGTCCCTAACATTGATTAAAAACTGAAGAGGAAAACCAGCATGCCACATTTCAGTGATTTGAGGATACATTTTAATGCCTCTGAATTTGGGACACATCTTACAGTCAATAGTGTCATCGTTTAATTGGCAGTATTTTCTCTTTTTTAGCGGCCGCTGAAATAATATGTCTTGTCGTTGACAGCTTCTTAGGTTTGATGGAATGAAGTGGTTGGTTCTTTCCTTTTTATTGAAGTGTCTAGACCTAGATGTTGTTATTGCTTCCTTGCCCACAAGAGGGTGGTGATGAGCAGTTTGTCACAGATGAGAATGGAATTTTTAAATTGAGACAAGTCTAAAACTAGTAAATTTTGCCATCATTGGGTGTTTATTTCCAATTAATTTTCTTTCTTTTATTTTTCTAATGCCAGTTCTAAATATTTTACAATTTACAGTATTATTGCTCTGTGATCCAAGTATTTTGGGTAAATAAAACATTCAAAATCTGAAGATAAAACTGACTTCAAATAAATTACAATCACGATAAATGCCAGTTGAAAAGACATTTACTATATTGTATGTGGCTTTTTTAAAATCCAACTTTCTGGCTTAATCAAGTCTCCTTAATTAGTATTTTCTCCCGTACTTGGATTGAAAGTATGCTGTTTCTGTTCTTTTTATGGTTCCCCCTTCCTTTTTAATCATTGCTTAACTAACAGTCTAAAATCAATCCTATCAGTTTTCCTTTTGCTGAACCTTAAGCACTTTTACTTTGATTTTCTTCACCTCTTTCTTGTTTATTTTTCTGAGTCGGAGTCTCACTGTATCACCCAGGTTGGAGTGCGGTGGCACACTCGTGTTCACCCCAGCCTCAGCCTGCTGGGCTCAGGTGATCCTTCTGTCTCAGCCTTCCGAGTAGCCAAATGACAGGCGTGTGCCACCTTGCCTGGCTAATTTTTTAATTTATGTTTTGTAGAGATGAGGTCTCACCAAGTTGCTCAGGCTGGTCTTGACCCCCTGGGCTCAGGCAGTTCTCTCACCTCTGCCTCCCAAAGGGCTGGAATTACAGGCGTGAGCCACCACACCCGGCCCTTACGTTTTGTTGTTGCTCCTTTTCAGCCCCTAACTCTTGCTAGCTTTTTCTCTTACATGCAGTGATGCGCTAAGACACTGGGATGCTTGGGTTTCTTGCTGCCCGTTGCTTCTTGCCTTTTGCTTCTGTCTGTTAGGTTCGGTTTTTCTTAGGATATCTTTTACTGTGCTTGCAGTGAGGGCGATGAGCAGTAATGTTTTTTGTCCTGTGTTCATTTGAAGCAGTCTTTATTTTGCCCTCGTTGTGGGATGCCTGCTTCGCTGAGTACGGAGTCCTGGGTGGCACGTGTTTCCCTCATGTGCTCCTGACTCAGAGTCTGCTCTGCAGATGAGATGCTTGTTGCCAGCCAGTCAAATTGTCATTTTGTTGTAAGAAGTCTGCCTGGTGTGGATTTGGCTTTGTCGTGCTTGGAGTTCATGTGCGCTATTCCAGACCAAAGATTCTCTTCAGGTCTGTAAAATTCTTACCATGATCCCTCCAGGTCATGCGGTTTTCCCATTCTCATTTCTCACATCTTGGAACTCTTCTTAACGTTACTGAACCTTGTTATTTCTGCCTTTCTTGTCTCTGCTCTATCATATCTTCCAATTATTTCTACCTTGCATATTGAGTGATTCCTTCAGAGTTATTTTCTGGTTTATTACATTATTCAGCTGAGAGTAATCTCTGCTTAATTTTTCCATTCAATGATTAATTTTGTTTATAATAGTCTTCTAAAATACTTAATGCTTCAAATCAGCCTGTTCCTATGTATACTGTTCCATTTTTATTATGGTTTTTAATTATGTGATCATCTTATTATGTCTTTAATATTTTCAAACATACTGCAGATTGCGCTGTTATCCTAGTTTTGGGATGCTGACTCTTCTCTCTTTGGGTATTAGTGTTCTCCTTATAATTGCTTATTTTCTTCTCTGCTCTGTCATTTTGATCCAGAACTTTTCTTCAAGGGGGTGTTGTTGATATTGTGGCTGGTGTTCTTTAATGCTTGGTATATGGAAACCTCACTCCACAACAGGTTCCTGAGTCCTTCTGTTGGGGCCATACGTGTTCAATGAGCCTGGCCCACTTATTATATAAACCTTTCCGCTTGGGTACGTATACTTGGAGAGAGTATAAATTCATACCCCATATCCGTTTGAGACACCGGAGGCCTGGTGTTTCTGTTTCTTAGGGAATTGGTTTCTAACCCCAAACCTCCTTAGACTGCTTTTAAGTTCTAGGCTGGTGCACAGTGGTCAATCTCACCTTCCCAACTGCATGTTGGACATTGCATGTCTCCTGTCTCCATCCGGCATTCAAGATATTCAGGAGTTTGCCCCAGGGCTTGTCGGCTCCAGTGTTTCTGGGCTGCTGTACTTTAGCTCTGATGCCTCTTTGTTTCTGTCACATGAGGATTCTCCCGGTTGCTGCCTTAGTTCGGGCCTTACCTGGTCACTCCACTTCTTGATTGCTCTCTAAGACTTCTCTGTCTTCCATTTAGGCAGCAGTTAGTCTTCGTAAGTCAGAAAAGCCTAAACTCTCCAGGTCAGTTTGTCACGCCCCTTCACTCTCATACCGTTTCTCCCATTTCCCCATCTCCCGTTGTGCCAGCTTTCCTTGACTTCCTTGGGGAATATGTTTCACTTGTTTGTGCGTGAACTTACTGCAGGTTGAGTAGCCCTTACCCGAAATGCTTTGGAGCAGAAGTATTTTGGAAATGTGGATTAGGGATATGAAGCCTGTGTTTTCCTGACCATCTGTTCCCAGTTTTTTGTGTGTGTGACTGAAATTCAGCACAACCGTGACATCCTTCTTTAAGTCTTCTTTGATCTGGTCTTATTTATATGAGCTTCCTCTCTGTTCCTGTTACACTGTGTGCAGAGCTCTATTCTGGCATTGGTCATAGGGTTCTCTGTGTGACGATTTCTTGGTCTTTCACGTCTTAATGTCTTTTCAGCTTCAGATGGTGATACCGAGTAGCACTTGATAGTTCTTTGTTGAGGGAGGATTTGTGTTGTGTGAGAACATGGGCACAGACCTGCATGTTTGTCTCTTCGGTGTTAGTTACCAGGATCGAATTTGAGGAAGTTAAGGATACCGTTTTTCAAGGGAATGATGTACTGTTGCATGTTCACGTGAAGTGTTTCCTTTTTTCCCCCTCCAGGGCTGTTGTGTTTGTTGTGGACAGTGCAGCGTTCCAGCGGGAGGTGAAGGATGTGGCTGAATTTCTGTACCAGGTGCTCATCGACAGTATGAGTCTGAAGAATACACCGTCATTCTTAATAGCCTGCAATAAGCAAGGTGCCAACATGTTTTCTGGCAATAATTATTGCGTTTTTGGGGATTGCTACTAAGAGTTAGTTCAGTTATCTACAGTTATTGTTGAGGATGAGAGATCATTGCTGTAATGAGCCGTAAACTGGAGGATTTTAAATCTTAAAGTTAATTTCTACTCCTGCCTTTTCACCAGACCTGCCTTCTTACCAGAAGACTAGGGAATGACAACAGAGTGACCCTTGCCAATTTTTTCTTTGATATGGTTTGTTTTTTCTTAAGATTATGAATTATTTTACTTTGCCAAGTTAAGTTCCTCAGATTGGCGGTATTTCATATCAGATACACAGTTTGAGGGACAGGGTGGAGTCTCAGTGAAGCACATTTTATCAAGGGGAGTTTGGGAGTTGTTTTCCTTTAACCTGATAACCACTGAAAACCTTCTAGTCTTGCCCAATAAAACTGGGCTTCAGCTCCATTACCTGTAAGATAAAACAGACGCGTTGATCTTCTCAGGTCCCTTAGATCTAAAATTCTGGATCTGCGAAGAGCCCAAGGCATTTCTCAGAAGTGATCAGCTAACAGCACTAATGATGCCTTATCAGGAATGCGCTTACTGGCGTCATACTTTGCCCTTCTCTTTATTTCTCTGACACAGTATGAAGAGGGGGATGGGCATTGTGCCGAACCAGGGCTTCTTACCTGTAGTGTACTTGAGGCTTTAACATACTGTCTTAGTCTCAGCTGGGAATATGCTAAGCTAACTTTTAAATGACATTTAGGGTATTGTCTGTTGGAGTGAAGGCTCTTCTTGTTATAAACACAGCACTGGTAGGTTTTCTTTTTGTTTAACTGACTGAACTTATATGTAATGAATTGAAAGGTCTGTAAGGGCCGGGCTCGGTGGCTCAGCCTGTAATCCCGTGCCTTGGGAGGCTGAGGTGAGTGAATTGCCTGAGCCCGTGGGTTCGAGACCTGCCTGGGCAACTTGGCGAGCCCTCATCTCCACAATAAATCAAAAATTAGCCGGGCGTGGTGGCACGCACCTGTAGTTCCAGCTACTTGGAAGGCTGAGGCGGAAGGATCGCCGGAGCCCAGCTGGTCGAGGCTGCGGTGGCCGGGAGCGGCCACTGCACTCCAGTCTGGGCGGCAGAGTGAGACTCCAACTCAAAAAAAAAAGAAAGGTCTGTAAAGTGTAGAAAACTTTAGTGAATGCTAAAGTCAATTTTAGGGCCATTAGCATAATACTTATAATACATTATAAGTATTATCTTGGGAAAACCCATATATGCAAACACACAGCTTACTTGGATAGAGAAGGAATTAGTGATAAAAGTTCTTTTAAGAAAAGGGAATCATCTCTATGTGATGATTTCTTGCTCTTTGAGGGCGGGTATCATGTCTTACTGTCTTTTCAGCTTCAGATGGTGATACGTAGTAGCACTCGATAAGAAACTTAGGAATTTTTCTTCTGTGTGAGAAATCTTGGGAAAAGAGTTGTTATGGTGTCAACTGCAAGATTATTTTCACCTCTTTCAGATATTACAATGGCAAAATCAGCAAAGCTGATTCAACAGCAGCTTGAGAAAGAACTGTAAGTACAAATGAAGCCTGTTGACTAATTATCTATCTTAACACTTAGACCTTAAGCAGCATATTCATATTTTGGGGGGTTATGTATGATTATCACAATTACAGACTGAAGATGAGTATGTTAAATAAACAACAAAATAATTGATGGAGTTGTAGAAAGCATTCATAATATATTTATAGATTTTTTTCATATCATGGAAAGATTTATTGAAGCCATAAGCTCAGTTTATTTTACCACTGTTACTAACTCATTTATAGTTGAAATGAAAGGTTTTAGAAACGAAAACTTTTTTTTTTTTTTAATTGGAGTCTCACTGTTACCCAGTCTGGAGTGCAGTGGCACGCACGCTCATGGCCACCCTAGCATTGACCTGCTGGGCTTAGGTGATCCTTCTACCTCGGCCTTCCAAGTAGCCGAACTATAGGCGCGCGCTACCACGCCCGGCTAATTTTTGATTTATTGTAGAGATGAGGTCTCGCCAGATTGCCTGGGCTGGTCTCGAACCCGTGGGAGAGGCAATCCACTCACTTCGGCCTCCCAAAGTGCTGGGATTATAGACTGAGCCACTGAGCCCAGCCAGAAACTAAAACTTTTTAACATGCAAGTTGAGAACAGTGTTTCAGTGAATGGAAGTGTTTATTCACCATATTGTAAGGCATATTAAGCAGTGTTTAAAGATACATGTGAAAAATAAATAATAATAAATAAAAGTTGGGACTCAGAAAAAAAGAAAAGCTAAAAAGTTTTAAAGCCATTTTGGAAATTATTCTTGACAGAATAAGAAAGGAACACTGAGGAATACTGAAAATCTGTGGTACTATTTTGTAGCTTCTTACATTGTTGGTAACAATATAACTGCTCTGAGTGTTTAAAAATTTGTAAATTGAGCTGTTAGCTTTTGAATTTTAAAGAATCTAGAATGTTTTTGTGTTGTGCAAATTGATAAGAACTGGCCAAAAGCTTGCCTAGAAGAAATGATCAGCATTACAGTAAAGCAGGCTGTGTTTCTTAGTGCTTTTGTGTGAGAGCTTGAAAAACATCTGATGAGGAAAAATTGTATACATTCAGCTTTTAGAACATTTTTCCCCACTATGACTTACTTACACTTTTATGCATTTAGAAGCACCTTAGTGCATCTGGTGTTTGCACTCAGGGTGCAGCCATGGGAGGAAAGGTGGAGTCCCTGTCCCCGGTAGCTTAGGGTTTCTTAGAATCTTGTTGGCTTCAGGGATTGGCAGACTCCTGCACAGGGCTTGCACGCCAAGAGGAGTTTGACATTTTTAAAGCACAGGTAAAAGAAAAGAAAAACAGGCAACAGAGACAAAATGTGGCCCCCAAAGCCAACAAATTTAACAGATGGCTCCTTACAGACAGCTTGGGCGGCCTTGGCTGTCCAGGTCCGTGGCTCCTCTTCCTCCGGTGTTGCATGTCTGTCACCCTCTCTTCTGACCCCCTGATACTCACTCTTAAGACTGGGTTGCTTGCTGCTAGGCTGAGGACATTGGAACAACTGGGTGATCGGGTTTCTCTAAAAATCCTCCTGCAGTTGCTGGAGATTGTTTTGGGGAAGCCAAAGCTGTCATTATGATATCTGTGTATCCATTTTGGGTTTGTTTTTTTTTAACAGTTCAGTCCAAGTCTTTCCACATTTGAAACATGTTTTCCTCAGACCATTTGCTTTTTGCTGTAAGAGTCAGAGAAAAACAATACAGAAGGCAATTCTCTTTTATAAGGTAGTGAAGCAAAATGTTTAAAAGTTGTGAAAGTTAACATCAGTTACTAGGAGTCTGAGTAATTTTAATTAAATCTCAAATTTGAGTTTTAGGCTCTGTCAACTTTGAAGCATTTCATAGTCTTCTAAATGACATGATTTACTATATTTACATGGCCTTGTGACCAAAACTGAATGCATGCATTTTTTTATGAAACATTTTTTATTAGCTGGGCTCAGTGGCTCAGCCTGTGATCCCGCGCCTTTGGGGAGGCTGAGGTGAGTGGATTGCCTGAGCCCACGGGTTCGAGACCCGCCTGGGCAGGCGAGACCTCATCTCTACAATAAATAAAAAAATTAGCCGGGCGTGGTAGCACATGCCTGTGATTCCGGCTGCTCGGAAGGCTGAGGTGGAAGGATCGCCGGAGCCCAGCAGGTCGAGGCTGCGGTGGCCGGGAGCGGCCACTGCACTCCAGTCTGGGTGACAGAGTGAGACTCCAACTCAAAAACAAAAAACAAACAAACAAACAAACAAAGACATTTTTTATTGTAAAATATCTCATATACAAAAGATTCTATTTGGCATGCACATTGTTTAAAGATATTAAAATGAATACCTGTATACCCACCACCATGCTTAGAAGGCCCCTGCGTTTTTATCCCTGAGAGTTTTTCCCTTTTTCCCTCAAGAGGTAGGCAGTATCCAGAATTTTGTACTATTTGTTTTAAAAACACTTTTACTTTGTATGTGTGTGCATGTGTGTGTTTTCCTGGATGTAGTGTTGTTTAGTTTTGTCTGTGGATTCCTCACTAATTTTTAAGCAATCTTGCAGAACCAAGAAACACTTTGTTTTATAAGAAAGCAGATGGGCAGCGTGCATGTCTTCCTCTGCTCGGGATAGCTGGGAAGGACAGAGGTCAGCAAATGAGTTGCTTCTGTACCTTCATCTGGGCCAGCAGGCGGCAGCAGGGCAACCTAAGGTGGGAAGGGCGGTGGCTACCCAAGAGCCTGGAGGAGAGTTAGATGGGAGAACCTGGGGCTTGTGGATTTCTAACCTCCTGAGTCCAGATAGACTCAAGATAAAAATAAGTCCCCGGTTTACCCACACGCAACTCTCAGAAGCTTGTGTTTTTGAGATCAGACGAGATAGGGCACGTGTAGGGTGGATGGCTGTAGACCAGAAGCTTATGTTTTTATAACACTTACAGCATGTATTTTTAAAATATATTTTAAAGTGGCATCTTTCAGGAGATCCTCTTAGAAGAGGGTCTGGGCTCAGTGAAGGTGTGACCTGGCCTCTGCTGCCCTGCCATCATCGGGCTGTGTGAAGTGGGTCCCCTCTCACCTGCCTGTCCAGGACACTGACCTATAATTGCAGAAGATGATTCGGCAGTCTTGAGAGCAGCATGACTGATGGTTGGTGATTAAGTTGTGGATGAACGGTGAACTGCCGAGCCGCTGGGACGACTTAAGTGCTGCGTCAAAAACCTTGCCTCCCGACATGTTTTCCTTTGCCCCGCAGGAACACCTTGCGAGTGACCCGTTCCGCTGCCCCCAGCACACTGGACGGCTCCGGCACGGCCCCTGCTCCGCTGGGAAAGAAGGGCAAAGAGTTTGAGTTCTCACAGCTGCCCGTCAAGGTGGAGTTCCTGGAGTGCAGTGCCAAGGGCGGAAGAGGGGACGCTGGCTCTGCCGACATCCGGGACGTGGAGAAGTGGCTGACCAAGATCGCCTGAGGGCCGCTCCAGGGCACAAGGCTTGGGGGCTGTCTCGTAGTTTTGGGAAAAGGGCTGTGGTAGTCTGGAGTTGATAGGGAAGAGGTACAAAGTATGGCTGGGGACATTTCCTTGTTCTGGAGACAAATTACTGTTGAAACCTGCTTGGAATTTTTTGTTTTGAAGTTCAGTTCTCCCTATGGCGTCTTTCAAACAAGTCACCTTTATTTGCCTCTCATATCCTCCCTTGGTTAAGGTGTGTGTAACTTGATATAGGGTCAAGGCCTTTGGGACATAGTAAGCAGACTCCACGTAGGATATCAGAGAATCTGGTTGCCACCTGAACAGTTTTCTTAGCCTCTGCTTCTTGGAAACAACCCCGCCCAGTTATGAAGCCAGTTGCCCCGACGTTCGTGGACAGTGCGTAGTGCAGTCCTCTGTGAATCTCTTAGATTTGCAGCCAGTCACAATACAGTTTTCACATACGAAGACAGGTGCAAAGCAGCAGGGCGTCTGTTCATCATCAGGTCAGTGACGCGTCTACACTCCAGCTTGTCCTGGACCCTCGGAGCTATTCCCAGATGACAGAACTGGAAGTGCTAAAGCCTCAAATGCCAAGGACCTAGCATGTTCTAGTGGTTAACTGGGGCATACATGGAGGTTTAAGCGTTTCTGCCTCTCTGGTGGCTGAGGCTCTGGAGCCACCTTATGTGCTGCTGGAACAGCTCCTGTTTTGTGCCCATTTCTAGAATGCTGTGGACACAAACAAAGTGAAAAAAGTTCTCTGTAGATTTCTGAAGTGCATACGCATTGATGCTAAAAAAAAACAAGTCTTGCTTTTCGAAGTGATGTTCTTTGCTGTCTTTGTAAACATGGCTTTTCTAAGTGATGAATACATTTCTTGGTAAATAAAGCAACCTGTCTGGCTTAAAGCAACTGAATAGAATGGAATAGTGAGTACAATTGGGGGTTAGGATTCAGGCCTAGCCGCAAGTTCCCTGGGCCTAAGAAAGACTGCAGTGTGCAGAGGAGCACACTCAGGAACAAGCCCAGCTAGAATTTACCAGGAGACAAGGGTGGCTGTGGATAGGTGAGAGGCCAGTCACGGGACAGTGTAGTAAGAGCCATGATAGGACAGGTCCAGAGTGCACAGGGGCACCTGACCTGGCCTCAAGGAGCCGGGGGAATCAAAGAATAAAAGGATGTGACTGAGAACGTCTGAGGGAACGTGGGCCCCATGTGCAGCCTCTGCCTGTGGTCTTGGTGTCCTTTCCAAGGGGTCACTTGAGCTTTGCGAGTACATGTCACCTCAGACCCCAGGCTTCCTGGCAGAAGTACTCCAGTTCCCCACCGAAGCCTGTGTCAGCCTTGCTGCTGGTGCATGAAGACAAACGGAACATGAGACGGAGAAATTGTTAGACCCTGACTCCTTCAGAGTCTTATTCGAGAGCCACGGTGCTGCTCAGGTTCTGTCTTTGGACTCTGTCTCTTGCCCTTTTCCTTACTAGCCAAGTGGTAACTTAAGGGAGTGGATGAGACCGATGAACTAGAAGAGCGGGATGGGACGAACGTGACGTGCTCCGAGTCATAGTGGAAGCTCGTGGGAGTAAAGTCAGTGGCCCCATCCTCTGTGAAGAGGCACGTGCCCCCCCAGCCTCTTTTTTTTTTCTAGTTACCATTTTACTTTATTGGAAGCAGTACCTCAAAAAAGCGATTATCTAAGAAGGGAAACAAGGTTGAATTTTATTCGAGGTCTAAAGATGACCTTCTGAAAAAGGGGCACTCTGTCTAGAATGGTGATTCCAAATGTTCGTGGACATCATCTGATCTGTGACACTTGTCCAGCTGATTTGAGGACTCCACACTTAGAAATTCTGATTCAAGAGCAGGCTGGTGTGGTCTCGGGAACCTGCATGCTAACAAGTCCTTAGCGGTCACTTGGGGCTCCTAGGGCACCCCTAGAGATAGCCCGGCCTGGAGTGTCATGTATGCCTTACTGTGTTTTGTTCGATGTCTTTTGGGCCACATGTTCTGTGCAGCTTTCTGACGGGGTGAAGTAAGCAGCAGATTAGAAACCTTCCTGGAAACTCCTCCTGCTTCCTACTCCCATGCTCCAGGCATTCCAGTCTTCTTGTGGGTTGGATCAGCATGAGGTTATGGTGACCAGTCTTCAGGAGCTGGAAAGGGGTTTGGTGGGAGGTTAGATGTGCTCCCCCCTCAGGCCGTGCCTTCCTGTGGCCCTGAAGTCATCCAAAGTAGGCCCGTTTCTTCATCATGAGAAAGGCGGCCAGCGAGGCCGGAGCGGAAAGAGGGGCGTCAGACCAAGGACAGGCACACTAGGCACGACTGCCTGTCACAGATGAGGCATTTGTGGCTTGGAACACCTTGGCATCACGGCCGTATGGCCACCAAGACCTAGGACCTGCCGCTGTGGAGGGCAGCTGCCGCGAGCAAGCCCCAGGCACTCTAATGCGAGTATGTCCTCTTCTGGACTGGACTCTTCGGTGGCAGGGAGCACGCGGGCCAACCCAACGGGGCCTAGGCACTGGCTGTGCTGACTTTATTCCACTGTGCTTTCAGACCCGGGCCTCGGTAAGCCTCTCTGCTCCCAGGCCTGACGCTTTGCTGTGGTCCTAATTCCTGATCAGGCTGTGGTGGGAATGGGAAGTCTTTGGGGCCTGCCACTGCCACTGGCCTCTGTCTCGGCACCTCCCAGGATGCCAGCATGCCCCTGGGGTCCTGAATTGTGAGGCACTTGGCCATGCTCTGTTGGCTCAGGTCATTTCAGCTGGAATATGCTTTTTCTCTTTTGAATTTTTCTCTTTTGAATTTGTCAGACCTTTCCGTGGGCTCATGTCCATCCTCACCCGAAGGCCACTGGCAACAATTAAGATGTCACCCTCCCTCACTGTCTCATCCCTTCGCACAAAGAAAGGCAATCATTTCCCGGGCTTCATTGGCCAGGAAAATCATCCCGCGTCCCTTCAATCATAAGGCCCGAAACTCGATTGCTCATAAGAGGCCTCCAATATGTTCTTTCATTGAGTAAATGCCAAGTGCTGCAACAGGCCCTGGAAATACTTAACAAGCGCAGCTCTCACTTCTAGAGACATGTGGCCCGGGCCTGAGGTTAAGAAGCGTGCCCTTCCATGTGCTTCCCTGACCACCTGTCACGTGTGCAGGCTGCCATGCCTGTCCCGCCTGCACCTCGTGGCCATCTGCCAGGCACTTCCCTTGTCTTCCGTCTCGGTGCCTTCTGGGATGCCAGTGTTCCCACGTACCTGGCTGTGTTCTGTTGACTTGAATATGGTTTCAAGTATCAACATCCTTTTGTTTGGGGGGAAAAAGCCATCTTTTAAAACTTGAGTTTATCTATCTATTTATTTATTTTTTGAGTTAGAGTCTCACTCTGTCGCCCAGACTGGAGTGCAGTGGCCACTCCCGGTCACCACAGCCTCGACCTGCTGGGCTCCAGCGATCCTTCCACCTCTGCCTTCAGAGTAGCAGAAATTACAGGCACGCACTACCACGCCTGGCTGATTTTTTGATTTATTGTAGAGATGAGGTCTCGCCAAGTTGCCCAGGCGGGTCTCGAACCCGCGGGCTCAGGCAATCCACTCACCTCAGCCTCCCAAAGGTGCGGGATTATAGACTGAGCCACCGAGCCCGGCATTTAGCATAGTGACCTCCGCCCTGGTACACTGGTGAGGAAAGCCACCCTGAATGGCACCCCGCTACCCTTCACTTAGGCGGGACATTCACTGCAGCACTGTCACCTCCACACTCTTGTCCAGGGAATCCCAATGATGTTTCCTCGGCTTGGAGAGCTGAGTGTAAACGTCTGTGTGTGTCTGTGTGTGTATGTGTGTGTGTGTGTGTGTGTGTGTGTGTGTCCCTGTGAGCTCACTCCCTCCCTCTGCCGTGTGAAGTCAAGTTGCCCTGAATCCCATCGTCTTGGGGAGGACTGCTCATCCTGGAAAAGCTTTACATGCGTGCACATCTGGGCCCCAGAGGCCTCACGCTCTGACCCTCATCCCTCTGCCTCCTCGCCCCGTACCTGCTCACCCTCACTTGTTACAACTGGCAGCCAGAAAAAATAAGGTGGGTGGCAACATCCACTTCCCGTCTCTTCTAATCAGAGATGGCTTCCTTGAGGCGGCAGACGGAAGGGTGTTCTGGTAATCCGAGAAGCTGGACTTGCAGAATCCTGAGATCCCCAGCATTCTCAGGCTAGGGTAATTCTGCTCCTAATCTCAGCCTCTGTGTCCTCTTTGGATTTGGCCCGGAACTGCCCTGGCTTTCTGGGCATCTACAGATGGCTGAGGCCCAAAGGGACCCCTCAGGGATGTTCCTAACTGGCATCGGAGGCTGGGGTAGTGCGTGGCAGCTTAACGTTGGAGGCGATGATGGTTCCTCTTATGTTCTTGCCTTGAAACATCTTTCTGGAATCACCAGGACAAAAGATCCAGCCCCAACACCCACCCTTCATCACCCTCCGTCCAAGGCAAGGAGAGAGTGGGGATGACGAGAAACACCACCCCCTTTCTGGAGGCTCCTTCTAGGCAGAAGGGGATGGCAGGAATGTGTGTGGGTCTCCTCTCATGAGCGTGACCCCTCTTTCCCCCTTGGGAGTTGGTGGACAGCCAGATGAGGAGAACGTATCAGAGGCCTTGGGAGACACCACCGAGACCGAGGGTCTTTGTGGGGCATGCACTGGAGGAAGTTTTGAACCCCCCGGATATGACTGCTCCCCTTAGAAACCACTAGACAAGAAGCTCTGTGTTGAGAATTAGGACAGTTTATTGTTTGACCAACATGCTGAGTCTTTTCCACATTTTACACAGTTTAATGTGAAGTCAATATGGCCGCTATGCCTTCCGAGCCCATACCAGACGGAACCGCCACCCTGTGCCCCTCCCCCTGTGCCCGTCACTTTGAGGGATGGGTGAGGGGAAGTGAGGGGCAAATGGACACACACCGCGAGACGCAGGCCGGCCTTTGATGCTGTGGAGGCGTCCCGCCTCCAGAAGGAACCTTCCGAACCCCCGCTCCGAGGATTTCCTGATGAAGCCGTGCCCTGCTGGGAGTGTCAACCATACAGGAGTCTGCACCTTGCAATCCCAAGGTTTTGGAATACCGAAGTAGTTTGTTCAAACACAGATTCACAGGGTGCCCTGATCTGAGTGGGTGCCCAAGACAATAAGTAGACTCGGGCACTGGCCCTTCCTTGCAAGGGGGGTGGGCAAATGCACCAGTATTCCCTCCCAGCTCTCTTAGACACGCTGGGAAGAACCTACTGTCCTAACCAGAGTACGGATGGTCTGAGGAACACACCCATGCACGGCAGTCCTTGACGTGTAAGGTTGGAGTCACACTTGCTCACACACAAGTCAGCAACAGATGGGAGCATGGGAACACACAGGTTCTGATCACCTCCTGCTCGCTGGGTGGTCGTCACAGGCAAGTCACCCCTCCCTGTTTTCCTGCCTGTGAAACAGGACGGGTTGTGAGACGTCCGCCTCACTCCGCTGTGGCAGGGTGACAGTGCCTCACATTCTTTGGGGAGAGGTAGTTTGGAAACTTGTGAGCACACAACCCTGCTTGGTTGACGCACACGGACATGCTTCTGTTCAGCGGCCCCTCGCCTGGCTCAGCCATGCCTCGCAGGCCTCGGCTACCTGGTCTACTGTCCTGACATCCTGCCTTCTGTTTTGTGAAGGAATGAGGCTGTTATCCTCAGGACGCCGAAGCCAGCGGTGCCATCCCAGCACCGGCTCCCACCAGGACAATGGGGGCACTACGCCCTGATGTGTCTGCACTGAGCTATCACCAGCACTGAGCTGCCACCCCTTCAGTTCTTGTTTCTGCTGCCCAAGATACTTCAACGAACCCAGCTCCAGCTCTCCTCCAAGCAGGGACATTACAGAATGTTTACAAAATGGCGACAGGAAGAACATGGTGAGGGGGACAGCAGGAGCCCCCTGACCAAAGGAAGCTGCTGTCTACACCACCAAGCAGACTAGTCTTGGGCCACACGGAGCCCTCGACAGGCTGATGGGGCACCTTCCTGTTAGTGCATGTGTGCAGCTGTAAATCCACTAGCTGCTGCTTCCATCTGACACTCAATTCATCTGATGCCTGCAGAACAGGAGCTTTAGGATAGATTTTTCTTTGAGATCCTCCCCTGCCCCAAATAGGGGGCCAAAAGAAGAAGATCCTGTTCATATGCTAGGTCAGGCCTGCTCTTTGGGGAGAGGGGTTGATTTACTACATTTTCTAAAAGGAATCCTTCCCTTCGCCCTCGGCTAACTGATCTGGATTCAGCAAAGATGCAACACTTGCTGGGATGCTGAGGCAGCTTTGTGACATCTTCAAGAGCACCCGACACTACAGAACTTTAGCTCTGTGCCAAGAACCTACCTTCAAGCAAGAGGACGGCGATGGCACCTGCTAGGACAGACTCAAGGAGCCAACACACTTCTGTGGATGAGGTCTGGCTGCCTTACCAGACGCAGGGAGGGAGGGATGGAAAGCAGAGCCACAGCACTCCTGAGATAGGACAGAAGGAGGCAGTCCCCTCAGTCTGAGGCCACGGGGCTGGGGAGAGCCTGGGCCCAAGAGGATGCTGCATGCAGGAAAGACAGGACTCGCGAAGGCCAGCCACAGCAAGCCAGATGGCCGCTGCCAGGTCTCTCATTGCTCGGTCCATGGGATCTCGGATGTGTGTGCCAAGAAGGGAACCGAGTTTTGGTGTTGTTTTATAAGACGCTTTAAGAAAGGCTACCTTTAGTGGCAAGAAAATAAAAATCCACCATACAGTCGTTCAGAGACCCCGTGCAGATCCCTGTAAGTGAGGCGGTCTCAGAGGCCACACGCGATGGCCCTCACTGCCAGCCAGGCAGGATGCTGTCACGTGGACTCCTGTCAATTCTCGTGAGGTTAGTAAGCACTTTGCATTCCCACAAGCACCACTTGGGGGTGTGCCCGGGGTGGGGGGGGGCTGGCCCACACAGGCTTGGACACCCGTGCATATAAGTACATGGAGACTTGGTGGAGATATTCCCGTGGGCTGTTTTTGCCTGAAGTGGAACACATCTATGCATTATTTTATTGATGGCAAGACAATCACAAGTTATTTGACAATATTAAGTAGTTCTTATTTCAACACGTTGCAGTACTTTTGAATTTCCAAAACTGTTATCACAATACAAGTTCCAACTTGAGAGCAGGAAAAACAAAAATATACATTGAGCACATGTATCTCTGTGTGAGGATGTGTTGGTGGAAGGTGTATGCACAAGTCTATCTCTATATATATTTATGTACACACATATAAAACTAAACACATGACATTTGAATCACATTCAGACATTGGTCCTCGCCTTCTGGAAGAGGTGCTCAGTGGGATCCTGCTTCCTCTCCCGGTCACCTGCAGATCAACTTCTCTCTCAAATCCAGCTGTCTTGCAGCCTCCCGGGCAGAGGGCGTGCGGCAGGCCCGCTGCACAGACGGCAGTCCGGCCGGACTCTACTGCCATTTTGGATTTGTTTCTGAGAAGTTCCACAAATGCATTCGACGACCTGGTGGGGTTCACCCCACCACTCCCCATCGATGACATGCCCGCCCGCAGCCCGGGGGAACAGCCAAGGCCAGTGGCGAGCACGGGGCTTAGGTGTTAGCCAGACGCACTGCCCACTGCGTGGCTTTGTGCGGCCCTGGGGCGGTGAGTCTGGGTCTACCCAGAGTACTGGCCAAGTGGGCTATAACCCTTTGTGAGAAGGGAGAGTTCTCATTAGAGATTCTGCAGTGCTCGGGATTAAGCCACTCTTAGGAATGAGTCAAAATCAGCAAGGATGGCTTTCTGGAGGAGAGCCCCGGGAGCCTTCTGGAGACTCCTCCTCAAGCATATCCTCAGGTGACCACAGTGCAGCCACAATATCCACAAAGGGATGTGCAGAGATTTCAACTGCGCCATGCCAGTGGGGCGAAACATAGCCAATCAGCTTCTCCAGAAAGTACTCAACATTAGCAACCGAGGCTCTGAGAACATGTGTCTTTCAAGCTGACGGTTCTGCAGACAACTCTCCCTCCCCCAGTCCCAGAGGCCCACGTCTGTGTGGTATGGCTCCCGCCTCCCTGACATGCCAGGAGGAAGGCTGCAGGGTGGCACGCTGCCCGGCGTCATACAAGGCGTTTCTGGGACCCAGCCCAGCTCTGGGTACTGACCACTGGACGGGTCAGTTAAACCCTCTGACAAGTACACACGGTGCCCTGGTCCATAACTATGCACCCAGAGCCCTCCATGCCGACAGCACCCCATCCTTCCAGTGGCCTCTTGCTCTGCTGGTCACTGAGGGCACGGAAGACACAAGGTTGCCTGTGCCCTTGACTCCCATCAAGGCTTTTCAGGGAAGGGGAAAGGTCACATGTTCCTCTGTGACCTCCCCCTCCTGCCGTGGACCAAATCAGAGCTCCCTCCCCAGGATCAGTCAGTGTTGGATTTAACCATGGAGAGCCTGGAGGGTGAGGCCAGATGGCCCCGGACTGGAGTCTAATTAAACTGCTCAGTGGATCGTTGTAATTTCTTGGGCTGGGGTGGGAGGGAGGGAGGCGGAGGTGACAAACAGGAAGAGGACAGGAAGAAGGAGGTGTGTGGAAAAGGTTCTCTGTAAGTTTACAAATATACAAAAACAAAAAAGTACGTCTGTCAAATAAAAATGACTACATTTTTATCTGGCAAAAAGTTGTATACACATGATTTAAATTTTTTTTTTTTTTAAATTTTAACAGTTTTTGGCAATCTTAATAAAGTACAATATATTACAACCAAACCAAAAAATAGTTGTTTAAGTAACAGCTGTTAAGAGTGACGTGACCCCTGATGCCCAGCCTCCCTCCCCATCCCGCCCCCGCTCCTAGAGACAGAGAGAAAAGAAAAAAATCCTCCCATCTTGGTAAACTCATGTCCCGCCCCCCTTAGGAAGCTAACCAATAGGAAGCAACACAACAAGCAAGGAGTTTCGTGGAAGCCGGCCGGTGGCGGCTGCATTAGCAGGAACAGCCGCCCTCGCTGGCCGGGGGCTCCTGGGGCTTGTCCAGCTTGATGTCGATCACTGCAGGCGGCCGGGCTAAGGAAGATGACCAGAGAGACCGCCGCCCGGGCTCACACCCCGTGCACCCACTGCCACGGCTCCCTCCCCCTGCAGACACCCAGGGGCTGAACTCTTGGCTTGGCAGGGAGGAAGGCTGCAGAGGTCCCAGCTTCTACCCGCCTCTCCCTGACCCCTGTCCACCCAAGCAGAGCTCGGCCTGGGCTGTGGGATCGCCATCCACACAAAGGTCAGGGGGTCCCTCTGGCAGGAGCCTCCCCGGTGACCAGTGCCCGAATGCCAGCTCCTAGCCCCGGCCGCAGCCCTGCAACCTGACAGCCCCACCCCGAAGGGCACTGGAGAAGGGCCTGCCAGGCTGACACTCAGAACAGGGGTCTGTGGGCCTCGCAGGGCCCTGCCTCTAGCCGAGGCTTGAGTCAGAGTGTGCCGCTTGGATCCCGCGGATGGTTAAACCACATCCACGGGACTGAGCACGGCCTCTCTCCAGCCCGTCCCATGGGTACCCGCATCAGAACCACCAGGACAGATGCCAGATGTGCACAGGCTGCCCCTCTGCCCTCCTCACCAGGTTCAAGAGCAAAACTGAGACCTCTGAATTGTAGCTGAGGACCTGGCCCTTGGGCACCTCACAGAAACTTCTTCCTGGACTGGGCTTTGGTGCTTGTTGCAGGATGCACTGGGACGGGGTGAGTGGGTGGGGCGGGGGCTATAAGAAGCCCCGCCATGGAACTTGCTGCTGGCATCCCAGGGATGTTTTAGTGGCTCCCATCCGAGGACAACGGGAGAGGGGCTTTCGGCGAAAGTAACTGTCCCGCACCTCCTTAAGCTTCCATCTCCCACCTTGCCTTGGCTGTTAGGAAGCGCAAAGCTAACTCTCTGGCCACTTCTAACAACCATGCAGCCATGCTGCGTATTTTGAATATGACTTTATCTCCGACTTTGCTTTTCCTACCTTTACTTTCCCCATGTGTGTGCAAATATACAACTTTATCTTGTTTGGGTGTATGCATGTGTGTGTTCCACATGTACACGCGTACTTTTTACACCACAGCAGAGAATAAATAAGTAAACAGATACCTAGCAACCGCCCTCCCTGCAGTCCCCCTCCTGTCCTTCCACTCCAGTCAGGCAAGCCCACCCCGACTCCCTACACCTCTGCCTTTGGCAAACCCACTGCCAATCACGCCTGCCGCTTCTCTCTGCCACGTGGTTCCACGGCCGTGCTGGCCCTGGTGGTTCAGTTCTCTCCTAAAATGCCGGCCTGGGCACAGGACTCACTGGGGCCTCCTGGCCTTCTCCGGGTACCCCTCTGAGCCCACCCAGCCCTCTCTCTCAGCACGGTGACTTCCCAAAGCCGGCTCTGGTGACAGTCCCGTCACACTCCTCTGCAGACTTCTCACTCTGGGAGCCCACCCCTCCCCGGATCACACACCAAGGCTCCACCGACCCGATTTCCCCTGCTCTAAAAAACAGCCTCTGCTTGCTCTCAGTCCTCTGCCTGTGCTGAGCACTTCATTCTAGGAGTGAGACTCCCCGCCCTCTCGCCACCTGTGAGGATTCCTGTTCGACGGCCGGGATTCACACGTTCTGCCCTCTCCTGTGAAGCCATGCCAGGTGGGACTGAGCACACTCCGTGCGAGCACTGCAAATGCATCACCTTGCTTCAACTTCAGACCCCACGTGAGGGCGAGTAAAACACCCGGCAAGGAAGCCGAGGCGCCTGGGTGCAAACCCTGGAGCTAGACTTTCAGATGACACGGTAAGCTAGGTCCCTCGAGGACTGGCTTCTCCCTCAACACCACTGGGTGATTCCTGGCTGGGGAGGTGGCCCTGTGCACACGGGATGTGAGGGGCATCCCTAGTCTGCCCGCTAAACGCCAGTGACTCCTGCCCCCCACCAGCCCCTCACTTGTGCAACAAAAGACATCTGAAGATGCCACCATCTTCAGGGAGGGCAGGATGACTGGTCTGGCTGGAAGGCGGGCCATTCTTACAGCATTGCACTCTGTCCAACATCGAAGTTACCTGACTATGGTTTAAACAAAATAAGCCTCTCATGTGCAGTTTAAGTCGGAATACATTCGTACACTGCACAGTTCTCAAGCGGACTGCATCAACGTCTCCTGGGAAACTGTTAAAAATAGCCTCTTTGGGTCCTACCCAGTAGGTCTGGGGACGGGCCCAGGATGTGTATTTTTAAAAGTTCTTTGGGAGATTCCCAATGCAGACACCCGGGAAACCGATTCTACCGAGACTTCCGGAACAGCACCGTCCAATAGCACTTTCTGCAATGGTGAAAGTGTTCTGTATCTGCTAACAGGCAGCCACTAGCAACGTGGGCGACAGAGCCCTCCATGCTAGTACATAGGAGGAACTGGGCTTTGGGCGAATTGTAACTAATTTTTTTTGAGTCAGACTCTCATGCTATTGCCCAGGCTGGAGTGCAGTGGCATGCTCAAGGCCACTGCCGCCTCAACTTGCCGGGCTTAGGCGATCCTTCTGCCTCAGCCTTCCAAGTAGCTGGAACCACAGGCACGCACCACCATGCCCGGCTAATTTTTTGATTTATTGTAGAGACGAGGTCTCGTCAAATTGCCCGGGTTGGTCTCGAACCCGCGGGCTCAGGCAATCCTCTCGCCTTGGCCTCCCAAGGTGCTGGGATGACAGGTGTGAGCCACCGCGTCCAGCTTGAATTTTAACTAATTTAAATGTAAATAGAGCACAGGCCACTGGCTTCCTTGTAATGTCAGTGCTGCTGAAACGCAGTGCTCAGGGCCTGCTCACTGGCTGGAAATGATGGGGAAGAATTCCCAGAGGCAGCTCACTGGGGAAGCCTCCCATAAGCCTCAGAGCTTTGACAAGCACCTTCCTGCAGCCAGGGCCAAAGCATACCTGCCTCATTCTTCTCTCTGGGTCAGGCGTGGCCCATCACAGGCCACCCTCAGCGTCTTCCCTCTGGTTCCTGAAACAGCGACAGGCGGGCCCAGACAGCCTGTTACAAACCCGCCTTCCCCCGCTGGGCATGCCTTCCCCCACCCTGCGGGTCTCTGACTGCAGCCTATCCTCTCTGTCCCCCACAGCTCGGTCAAGCGCCATGGCTGTGGGACCCATGCATATGGGTTCGGTTCCTCTCTGAATCAGCCAGCTGTGAGACCCCGAGCACGTTCTGTCCAGTGGGGGTGTCGCCGTCCTGGCCTGCGTAGAAGCCTTCATGAAGCGCCCGCCTGACTACTGTCCCTTCGCAAATGCCAGCCTTGTTCAGAAAGAGCCCAGGGCCCACGAGACGGAGGCCTACTGGGTGGGCAGAAAGCGGGGGCAGATGGCCGGCACAGGCAGCGCACACAGGCAGCGCCCGTGGCTCTTCCATGTTGTGGCCCCACGGCCCCCCTTTGTTGAGGGGACAGAAGAACAGTCGTGGGGGGGCCTGCGGGACAGATGGGCTAGCCAGAGCAGCCCTGAGGGGGCCTCCCGTCTTGGATGTAAAGAGGCGGGCGCAGCACCTTCACTGGGAAACCCCAAGCCCCATCTGCCAAACCCCGGGCGGAGCGAGCGAGGCCAAGGGTGAACAGTGTGCATGTCGCCACAAAGCAGCACGTGTGTGCCTGTCCTTGACGCTGGATCCAGTCCTGAACGGGACCCCAAAGCGCACATTCAGAACCTCAGGATTTGTGCCGCTGGTAAACAGAAGTGCCAGCACAACCCTGCGGTGGAGACGGACAGGGTAGTGGCTACCTCCATCTGTCCCTCCGGGATCCCGGGGGCTGCCTTGAAGCTCGCTGGGCCTCCTGGCCAGGGTGAGAGGAAGGGGGAGGTCCGCCTCGATGACGGGACCCCACCGCTGGACAAAGGGACACAGACCACATCAGCCCGTGTGGTCTGCCTGCGACCTGCCCTGCCCCTTCCTCGAGGGGCCGAAGGTCACCAGTAGCTGGGGAGACACCAGGCACATGAGGTTGCTGGGCTCACGGCCACCCTCACTCAGAGCCTGACCTGCGTGGACCCCGCCTGGAGCCCCCACAGCGGGACTCTGGGAGAAAGTGAACGAAACAGTCACCACTCACCCAACTTGGGCACTGCGCCTTCTGAGCTGGCTGGGTGAGAGCAGGTGAGCACCCCTCCTTCCATGGGCCGCATCTCATCGGCGTCCTCTCCCCTGGCTGGCTCTTATCTTAGCTTGGCTGCTGAGTGTTGCTGGAATCTTAAGGGGCCTCACGTGACAGGTGACACCCTGGGGGCTCTCTCCCGAGGTCTGGAGCCTGGCTCTGCTACTGAGACCGTGGGATGCCCTTGACAGGCCTCCAAGCCTCAGTTTCCTTCTCTGTAACTGGAGTCTCATGACTGACCCAGCAGGAGACAGTCCTCAGACTTACTTCTCTCAGCCACTGCTCGTCCTCTGGGGACACCCCATGGACAGCCAGGGCACCTGGTCCTTGGTAAGCCTGATGGGTGTAGGGCGTGGGGTCTCGAGTTTGCTCTGAGCTCCTGGAGGGAGGCTGGAGGACCCGACTTCCCCGGCCTGCCTCAGGCTTCCCCTTGCTGAGGCCTCAGGCTCCCAGGGTGCTGCCTCACCCTGCCCCTACCCAGGCGGGGAGGGATGGAGCCCTGCTGTCACACGCTCTTCAGCTCCCGACATTCAGCCGCTCGTGTCTTTTGCTTCCGTCCTCATCAGCCCGAAGGTGCCCTGGCCTCTCTGGGCCTTTCCCGGATTTGCTGTGTGTGTCCACCCTTAGAGGCCCACGGGACCGAGCGCGGGAGGCTGGAAGGCGGCTTTCAGGGACATTTCCTGTCCTAAAGGGTGCAGGCCGGGGACGCAGGGCCAGTCTCTGGCAGCTGACTCAGGCAGGGCATCTGACCAGGTGTAGGGGAGGCCTGCCTGTGGGCAAGGCCTTCACCTGTCGAGCCAGTTCTCGCCCGATTCTCTCAAATGCCCCTTGAGGGACAGTGTCCCAGAATGAAACAGGGCTAGCTGTGGAGCAAGCAAGCCTGAGGGTGAACCCTAACTCCATAGCTTACATGCTGCGTGGCATCAGGCAAGCCAGACTACCTCTCTGAGCCCCCATCTGGGCGTCTAGGTGTCACCTCAGGGCTTGGGTTGAGCTGTGTGAATGGTTGTATCCCATAGAGCTGTGCGGGGCTGGGCCCTGGGAGAGGCAGGACACAGAAGGAGGCGTCTGTCAGAGTGGAAAGGGTTGCCTCATGCAGACTAGGGCTCACATCCTTAGGGTAGAGATGCCTTCCCGGCAGCGGACACTCTCCCTGTGTCCAAGACATACACACCAAGGCACACTGTCACTCGCCTCTCCTCCCCCACCCCTCCGCGCATAGCTCTTTGACTTCTCCCTGCCGTTCTGGAAGAAGCACAGATGGTCAGAGCAGGACAGGGGCTTGAAGACCGGAGGGCTCAGCCTCGGCCCGTCCACAGCCGTCCAGGGAAGGCCAGGCGGAGCCCAGCCGGAGCCTGTCCGCTGGACTAGAAGTGAACGAGCGGCTTCCCCTGTGCGTCTTCCCACTCACACGCCAAAGGAAAGGATACTCCCTTCTTTACTCTTCTCCTGGACGCTCTCCATCCCAGGCAGAGCCGAGGCCACACGTCGAAAGAGCTGCGGGGGTGAGGAGACGCCGCGGCCGTGTGAGCCCCTGCTCCTGGCCGGTCTCCACCCTCTCCCACCCAGGCTTTCCCCTCCGTGTGCTCACGGATGGTGACCCAGAGGCCGGGGCTGCGCCTGCCTCCCTTCAGGTGTGCCTCTCAGCTCCCAGCATGTGCGTGTGGTGGGAAAAAGCAAAGCTGCAGCCCTTACCCAGGCACGTTGGCCACAGGGTCGTGGCAGGGGCCTCCTCTGGTATAGAAAAGTTTCTACCCCCCACCCCCGGCCCTGGCCCCCATAGACCCCTAGGCAGGCTTCTGTCCACGGCCATGGTGGGGACCAGCCATGGGAGCCAAGAACGATGACCTTTCACAGGGAATGCCACGGGACCACCAGCGCTGCAGCAGCTGGATGCGGGGAGCCAGGGCCACACAGCCATGGGGAGGAGGCTCTCTAGGGCGTGAGGGGCACGGGAGTGTGGACGTGACGTTGTGGGCTTGTGTGGCTACACGTGCGCACGTGTAAGTGCAACGTGTGTATTGTGTGTAGCAGTGTATGTAGTATGCATATACATTCATGTGGGTTTCCTGTGTGAGTCCGAGTGTATGGTGAAAAGTGTGTGTGTGTGTGTGCGCGCACGCGCGTGCGCGCGCACTTGGGCAGGGTGGGTGGGGTGCTGGCAGAGATGGAATCTTGCAGGTGACAAGGACAAGACAGAAGGTCAAGGCACCAAAGGCTCTAACTGCTCCAGTTCCCCCAGGAACCTGATGTTGGAAACTAGTCCCCCACGCAGTTGTGCTAGGAGTGTTTCCATCAGCAGGGAGCCCTCTCGAGTGGGGCTGACGCCCCGTGAAAGGGACCCGAGGAAGATTGCCCACCCATCCACCATGCCTGGAGGCAGCGGGAGGCACCTTTCAGGCGAAAGAGGGCCCTCGCCGGACACAGAGCCTGCCTGCACCCTGACTGTGGACTTTCCAGCCTCTGGAGCTGTGAGCAATACGTGTCTGTTGTTTATAAGCCACCCCATCTACGACGGCTTGTGACAGCAGCCTGGACGGACGAGTCCAGGAACACTCTCCCCTCTCCCCACCAGCACCAGCAGAAGGAACGACAGCCCTGGCTGACACCCTCCACTGCACAGGCTCTCCGAAGACACAGGAAGCCTTCATGGCTTGGCCCAGAGCCCAGCCCGGACTCCCTGGACCCCCAGGCTGGGCGACAGGACCACGGGCAGTGAGGGCTCACAGGGGGAGCTGCTGGTGGGCCTGGCGGGGTGTGGGCAGCAGAGGAGGCTCTGTGTGGGGCAGGCAGAAGGGGGTGAGGATCTGGAGGCCTGGGGCATCCCTCCTGAGCACTCCATGATGGCTTCTCCCAGGTGGCCCTGCTCTGCCTGCCTGCCTGCCAAAGCAGCCATAGCTCCTGCCAAATGCCAAACTGCCCCTCAGAAGGCTGCTCTGAGGTCAGATGGGGTCAGATTTAGTGTCCAAGAGGCTGCACTGCCTGGAAACTTCTCTGAATCACACAGGGTTTGAACGGACCATATTTAGTTCCACAACGATCTGGGTTCCAGAATGTTCTGGGAGCAGGACATGGATATTTCCCTAATTCCCATCACCGGGGCAGCTGCTACCTGCCCTAGAGGGAGACCCCTTGGTGCTACCCTCTGCCTCCCTCTTCCCATGATTCTCCATCAGGGACTCCCAAAGAGCAGCGTCTCCAGGGGACGGGGGGACCATGACAGCTTAGGCTTCACACCAGAGGAGGCCGGGAAGGAGATGGGAGTGAACGGAGCCATGCCGAGGGCACTCCAGTTGGGGCAGGGTGGGCAGGGGGTACTGAGTCCTGGAGCTTTAGGACCTAATGCCACCACAGTGTCCCTCTCCCCAGTCTCTCCCAGTGGCTCGGCCAGCCCACTCTGTCCACTGCCACCAGCACTGTCTACATAGGGTGAGCCATGGCTGCCACACGGGCAGCTTGTCAAGTGTTCCCGGCAATGCAGGTGTCAGGGCAGAAGCGACCCCAAGCCTTCCACCCAGCATCCTCTCCCTACACCAGGCGGCCTGCTGCCACGCCTTGGCTGGCGCTGTGCCCCCTGTGTAGAATGCCCTCCCTCCTCTCTGTCTGTCCAGCCCCCTGGTACCCAGCGGCGGGGGTTTTCACCCTTTAGTGAGCCCAGGACCCCTCTGGCAGCTTGGCAAAGCCTGGGACTGCTTTGACATGTGTAAAATCAGTTATACAGAATTATAAAGGAAACCATTTAGGACCGAAATAAACCTCGCCAAGATACGCATCTGTGACACGCTGACATCTGGGCCTCCCTGTGAAAGCACTGAACGGCAGGACCCAGCAGTGGGTCTAGCAATGACTATGATGAGGAAGCAGTGATGTATACAAAGTTCGAGCCACCCGCAGCCCCAAGGTGGGAGGAGACACCTGCAGTTTCCATGATGCTGAGGCCGCAGGCACGCACTGCGGATATGGTTGAGCTTTGCCGCCTCCATTCTCCACTGAAGAAGTGTTAGCAGTAGGTTGATGGCTAGGGAAGGTGAAGGTCTAGCGCCTTCCACGCAGCCCGCTGACTTGCAGAATCCACCCATGGCCTGCCTGGGGCCCTGGGGACCAGGCAAGCCCGCCCCCCTCCGCTCCTGGGCTCAACCCTCACCATGCCTCTCGCCTTCATTCCAGCAAGCCCACACTGCCCTCCACGGCCCAGCACTTACCAAGCACAAGGCACGAACCCCAAAGGCTGATAGGGTTGAATTTCCTGTACCCCTCATTCGAAGGGAGGGAACACCTTCCCCGGGCCACCTGAAAGCTGTGGCTGGCCACTCTGACAGCCTGCTGAGACTGCTGTGATGGCTGCGGACCAACATCCTTTCGACATCCTGCTGGCAGTGGTTCTTCCCACTCCCCTGCTCTCCCAGCTCTGAGGTTAGCACGCTCCCCCTCTGGCGGGTTTGTGGGTGCTCTGGCTGCCTGCCCCAGCCCAGTCACTGGCCCCTCAGCGCAAGGCGGGCCCAAGCCTGAGGCTGACCACACCTGGAACCCGTGCCTGGGCCTCCGTGGCCAAGCCATGCCAGGGAGCGGCACCGGGCATTTCCTCACCTGCTTCACGTTGTAGCCGGTCTTGGCGCTGGTCTCAATGAACATGACGCTCAGTTCTTTGGCGCGCTGCTCCCCTTCCTCGATGGTTATCTGCCTGGAGACGAGGGGTTGGGGGGAGAGCACATCAGTCCAGCAAAGGAGCAGCCCCTGGCAGAGGCGGGGGTCACCTGAGATGAGGAGGGGCCCACCCACCAAGACCTCGGTCAGCCTCAAGACAGGCCCTGATCCCCGGAGTCCCTCGCAGGGCACCAACCACTGGGAAAAGGGGCATGGAGCATGGCAGGACCCTCGCCTCTTTCCCCACTCCTCGCATGGCATCTTCTCGGCTTCGGAGCAGGCCCCAAGGCGGGCTGCCCTGCAGGTGCCTGTGTGTGCAGAGAGCCTGGAACCACACAGCGCCTCTCGGGCGGGATCATCAGTCCCACCTTCTGAGTGAGAACCTCGAGGTTTAAAGTGACACCCCAAGACTGCAGAGCTACTCAGCAAAGGACCTGCGACTAAAACCTGACTTTCCTGGCTTCACGGACAGGACTCTGGTAAGACAGGCCCTCATTCAGCTTATCCCTTGGTGGTCAGGAGATGCTTGCTGGAGCCCATGGCCTGTCCTTTCATCTGCCCAAGTCAGGGTTGCCAGGATGAGTGAACAAATGTACATAAGTGGCGTCTGAGTTGGCCCCGGGCACTGGAGGGTGGCTATGGAGAAGTCTCTTCAGGAGAGCGTCACGCCAGACACAGCCTCTCACCAGGCCGCTGGTTGTGGAGGGGGCGGCAGACGGGTGGTGTGCGGACACTCTACATGCTTACACTGGGCCCTGGTGTGTTCACACCCCCAGCCCCTGGTGCAGGCCCTTCACGGGGTCAGCAGCTACTGGGCGGAGGGCACCGCGGTGTCTGGGGCTGGGGCCACAGCAGGACAGCAGACCACGCACTGCAGGGCCTAGCAGGCAGGACTCCAGGCACACAGCAGGTGGCGGTGCCATGCCCCTGCCCAGCATGGGAGGTAGGGCTTCAGAAGTGAGGCATCTGTAGGTGGGAGTCTCTCTGGTGTTCCCCAAGCTCCCAGTGTCTCAAGGGCCATCTCGGATGCATGGGAACAGGTCAGCAGCACAGACACCCCACCCACGGCACCAGAATGCCTTGTCCGGGGGCAATTCGGGAGGAGCGGAGGGCGTGGCCCCAGCGCCATGTGTCCCCTGCACCGCACGACCCCACACCGTGTGCCCCCTTAGGCCATGTGCCCCCTGCAATACGTGACCCCACACCGCATGACACCTTGTACCACGTGCCCCTGGCGCCATGTGCCCCCACGTCAGGCGCCCTGGCACCCACCTCTTGTCAGCGAGGTCCGTCTTGTTGCCCACCAGCATGATGATGACGTCACTGCCCCTCTCTGTCCTGACGTCATCGATCCACTTGGAGGTCTGCTGGAAGGAGTTGAGGTCTGGAGGCAGAAAGGGAAGATGACCAAGAGTGAGGTCAGCCCCAGCAGGAGGCGGGTCCCACTCTCAGACGGCCTGGGCAGGGAGCGAGCACGGGCCACACAGATCGCAGGGAGCCCAGCCGCCACCCAGGGGCCTGGACAGCCTCTTGCTCTGCTGCCCTTTGCAGGGGGGAGTCGTCCCCTCTGAAGGTCACTGTGTCGTGATTTGCTGCGTGAAATAGTGCCTTTGGGGGGCCCATCTGAGAGCAAGATCTGGATCTGGGGGCTCAGAGAGCATCAGAAATGAATGCCCTAGGCTTGGCAGCCCTTCGACGTCGGGAGGGGTGGGTAGAGGAGAACGCAGCAGCCCCCAGGAAGGAGGGGCCCTGCTGAGAGGCCATTCCACCATGGGAGCTCAGGAGAGGCCAGAGGGCTTTTTGTTTTGTTTCTTTGCTTTTTTTTTTTTTGAGTTGGAGTCTCACTCCGTCACCCAGACTGGAGTGCAGTGGCCGCTCCCAGCTACCGCAGCCTTGGCCTGCTGGGCTCCGGCGGTCCTCCGGCGATCCTCAGCCTTCCGAGTAGCCGGAACTATAGACACGCGCTACCACACCCGGCTAATTTTTGATTTATTGTAGAGACAAGGTCTTGCCAAGTTGCCCAGGTGGGTCTCGAACCCGCGGGCTCAGGCAATCCACTTGCCTTGGCCTCCCGAAGTGCTGGGATTACAGGCTGGGCCACCAGAAGGGTTTTGAAGAGAACACTTAGGCTCTGCCGGTGAGAGGGGAAAGGGGACCTGGGGTCCCTTGAGTCAGGGGAGCCAGGAGCAGTCACACGTCCAGAAGAGGCAAGGCCGTCTCTGGCAGCTCACCTCCCGCAGATGGCGTGACAGGCCTTGCAGAGAGGAGGCGTCACAGGCCAATGCCTACATGCCTGTAGGAGGGGACAGGACACCGCCTATGCCCAGCAGCCCACACACCCACGAGGAGGGAGCCAGCCTACCCCAAGGAGCCTGTTTCCCAAAGCCTGGTCTCCCTTCTGACGGGCATCAGGCCTGGTGAGCCCAAGCCCTCAGGGGCCCGGCCCCCCCCCCCCCCCCCC